TATGAATAAACAATCAACAAACTACCGGGTTTCTGGGTTAATTTGCAAGGTACTACATGGCTCAACTATTTTTTACTTTAGGGTTAATATCTAAAAATCACACACAAATCATACGACGTCACTGACAACGCCGGGGACGGCAACTCGATTTTGAGATTAAGTTTCCGAATAAAGTTTTACTAAATAACCTCTAATGACGAACTATTGTCTTCAGTTGTCTTTGTTGGTCATCCAACTGTCATTTTATCAAATTTTTTTTCGGTGATATTGCTATTCTCAGTAATCCATAAAACACCCACATAACAACGTCACGATAGATCGATCGGTGGGGACGCCGTGATGACGCCGGTAGGGTCAATTTTCGTCGGAAGGTGTCAAGATGATAAACAGTTTCATTGGACTAAATTCTTGCTTATTTTAACCATGCTTTCCTAAGATTATACTGACAATGGTTTCAAATGAAATAACTGACAACTTTGGTTTGTATCAATGTTTTATAAGTACTGTACATAAAACTATGTCACAAATACGTATGCAAAAATGCACAGGGACACCACGCTGTTTTTTTATTTTTCTTGAATTCTGTATGCCTGATCACCATCATCATACACAGTATAATAGATTCAAGTAAGGTGTTTGAAATGATATAAAAATGTATGCAAACATTTTTTTCCGAGTTTTATTTACCTTAACGTCGACTCCGTCTTAGAATTAAGCACCAGGATTAATCACGCCAGGATTAATCACCACGCTGTTTTTGTATTTTTCTTAAAATCTGTATGCCTAATCACCATCATCATACACAGTAGGCCTATAATAGATTCAAGTAAGATGTTTCAAATGAAAATTCATATTCATTGTATTGTTATTTATTATCAATATTGCCCCGGCGTCACTATTTTTTTTAATTGATTTAATATGCTGAATCATTATTAATGGTATATACCTATTATATATTTCTTTAAATTAATCAACAAATGTCTCATTAATCATAATATCGTAAATAGGCCTATTGAAGTATGAAGTAGTATTAATTCTTTATTAAAGCATTACTCGAGCACCTTCATTATTATTATTATTATTATTATTATTATTATTATTATTATTATTATTGTTTTATGTATCCTAGGCCTAATACCTTTATTATAGGCCTATATTTAATAATTTAATTAGAAATAATTATAATTATTAATTGTAAACATATATAATATAATGTTAACAATAATATAGGCTAGGCTAGACCTAATCAATTATTGAACATCGATTCGATTAATTAACAGCAGATTTTCGCCGATAGAGAAGACAGCAGTTTTTTCGCACTGCGGCAGTGCCGATAGAAAACAGCAGCTTTTTGGCACTGCGGCAGTGCCGATAGAAAACAGCAGGTTTTTTTCGCACTGCCGCAGTACCAAATCGACACTGCGGCAGTACCGATAGCCGCTCTATCTTGCGTTCCTAGTGAAGAAAACGCTTTGTATTGTGTATGCGTTGTTGTTGTTGGAAGAAGGAAATTATTCAGAATCGAGGTATTTCTAATGTAGTTTATTACATTCTTGTGATTATTTACCAATTAAAAATACAATTGCATTAATTGTTGATGGATTAATAATATAATTTAAATACATATTTCCTGAAACTGAAGTTATCTGTGTACGTTAATTTCTTAGCTAACTAGAGGCCTAGGCCGTAAGCCTAAACTAGTCCTTGGCAGATTCCAGCACCTTCGTCCGTTCGCTGCCCGTGACCGTCGTCGACGTGACCATTGGAGCTGAGTGTGAGTGGCCTAGGCCTAGCTTTTGCTGACATGGTTATACTTAATTTAAAAGACCTAGACGTTGATCATGGTAGGTTGGCTTTATTGTTTTCTTGCTTAGTTTAAAGATATCAAACAGGTTTTTCATCCTCTCTTTCCTTGTCCTTTTTTTTACGCTGTTGTTCTTGTGGCTATTTTTACGACAAGTCGTATCTGTATCTGTCAGCTGCTGCACAACCGCTGTCAACTAAGGAAGCTAATCGCGCATGCTGATTGGGGTTTTTTTTCACGACTCCTCGTAAAAATAGGTTCAGTGTTTTCTTTAGGCAGCCTAAAACTAAATTACGCTTGTTGGGTTGTGTACTAAAATATCTGTGAACATACAGCATACAACTAACTACTCATTAAGGGCCTACCTAGGCCTAGGGCCTATACAACAACAACAACACTGTAAAGTACAACTACAATGCAGTAATAGTCAAGGCAAAATGGATAGAGAGTTTTGGATTTGTCTGCCCTTATGTAATTTGTTTTAATTAAGCATTGTGGGCTTTGTTAACAGACACCTGATGAAGTCAGCATAGACAACACCTGATGAAGCCAGCATAGACTACACCTGATGAAGCCAGCATAGACTGCTGGCGAAAGCTTGTGTAATAGATAATTGAAGTTAGTCTATAAAAGGTCACCAGTTTGTGTTTTTATTTCACTCATCAGAAAAGAAATTGAAAAAATATGTTATAATGTTTAATTAAATTCCATATTTTTTTGTTTACTGTTTATTCCTAGTTGTCTTTTATAATTGGGATCAAGACCAGCACAAAGTTTATATTCAGTTGTATGTGAACTCAAATGTAAATGTCAAGACGGATGTAAACATCGATGTAACTGATTTAGAAATCACTGTTAAATACAAAGGTTTGTCAATTCAATTAATTTATCAATTAATTCCAAATCAATTTTCTCAGTATTTTATCAGTGGATTTGGTTATAAAAACAAAGGGATGGGTAGAATATGGTAAGTAGTAAGTACCAGTACATTCCATAAAAAGTATGCAACCCTTCTCATTCTTTTGCCCAAATAATTGACCAGTAGTTAACAACATTCCAAAGTGTCTAATTATGTAGTCCATAAAATTTGATTCACAGTTTAGAAAATGTGAAAACTGTGATTAATCTTCACACAACTCTATCAGTGGCAGATTCAGTGGGGGAAGAGCGAGCCTACCTGGTCCCTCCTGAATTTTTCAAAAAATGGCCATTCCCGGCCATCTAGAAGTGCCATAATCATAAATTTTCTTACCTTTTCCCAAACCATGGTTGGGCTGAGTTGGAATTCCTCCCCCCCCCCCATTACAGTATTTCGAATTCCTGGATCCGCCACTGGCTATTAGACCTGGAATTAAACAAAGCAAGTGTTATACTACCCAATGAAATCATGTGACTTGCATAACATGCCTTTCAAAATGATCTGTAAATAACAGCCTTTGATATTTCCAGATGAAATTGCATGGTGCTGCCAGTTCTATGCCAAAGTTGTTGAGGAGACATGTACAGTGCAGGTTAAAGATAATAAGATGGTGATTAGTATAGATAAGAAAAAAGCAAGTGAGGATTGGCATCACCTGCAGAACACACATGTCAAGCAAGATAGTGATGAAGAATCTTCAGGTATTTTACCTTAGCCACAAATCTACAGCTCCATTCAACTATTATTATTATTATTATTATTTTATGATAATGAAAATTATTACCGCAAATACTCGAATAAACGCCACTCTAGAATAAGCGCCGGTCTCGATAGGGTTTTAAAATACAATGTATACAGTGTTAAATGAAATAACACAATGAAGACACAAGCATTTCTTTATAAACGTTTATTTACGATGAAGTAGGAACTATGATAGGCCTACTGAACTACAGGTATATGTGAGATAGGTAACATTGGAATGGGCATGGAAAGCGCCACGCCAATATGTTTTTATAAGCGCCGCACTTGAATAAGCGCCGCTCTCGAATAAAGAATAAGCGCCACACTGAAGCCTCCAAAAATGTTATAACCGCCATGGCACTTATTCGATAACTTACAGTAATCTTTATCTTATTTTGTCAGTGTATAATCATAATTACATATTTATTTATAAAAAATTTTTATACAAATAATGAATTTTTATGTAAAGAATATTTTTATTCATTGAAAGCTTCCCTGTTTCATTCAACGAGGCGGAGCCGAGTTGAATATAACAGGGAATCTTTCAATTAATAAAAATACTCTTCCTATTGCATGAATGCAAACATTTATTATTTGTTTTAAATAACACACCTAAAATAAATCCTTTTATTTTAGGTATTCGTGGAAGCTCTTAAAAACCAAAAGGCCTAGGTCAAGCAGGCCTAGGCCCAAGGCAAGCTGACGCGATTTTTTTAGGCTAGGCCCAGGTAGGCCTAGGCCAGATTTTGAGGAATGCAACAAAACAGATGAAGATGAGACTTACTGTAGGCCTAATTAAATTCAATAGTTGACATGCTTTGTTTTAGATTAAAAAATAATATTGATCAAATCCCGGCGACAAAGCGTCGATCCGACTGTACCCAGCCGCATTGTTTGCCGTAATTTCACATGTTTGACGATTACCATGTCTACCACGATGAATGTGTATGTCACTGATTCATGTGCACTCATTTATTTACTTTTTGTCCATTTACACATTATATATCAATTATAACTAAAAGTAAAAATCTTAAAATACAAAATGAAAACAAAGTAAAGAAATAAAACATAAATCAGGTTTCGTAAATTTTTAATAATCTTCCTGCCCCGGATCATGCTCTCATAATAAAACACTTGAATGGTCACGATTTCAACTTTAACATTTTAATGTGTACAGCAAACGTGTCATGCCAGCCCACGACGTTCGCTATGACTCAACTGGGCCTAGGCTGTTCAGTTAGCGATGAATAGCAG